TCTGAACCTATATGTCGAAAGATCCTCCATAAATCTGACGATTCGGCATTTATATCCCATCCAGCATCATTCTTCGCCTCGGATGTCATCGTAAGGCCCAAATTAATTAGTTGCAAAAACTTGCAAAAAGAGCAATACATTTCTCGAAATGTCCTCTAAACTTCTATGTCGAAAGATCCTTCATAAACCTGTCGATTCGGCATCTACATCCCATCCATGGCGCTTCTCCGTCTCGGGTGACATCGTAAGGCCCAAATTAATTAGTGACAAAAACTTGCAAAAAAAAAAAAGCAACACATTTTTCGAAATGTCCTCTAAACTTGTACGTCGAAAGATCCTCTATCCTCCATAAACTTGACGATTAGGCATCTACATCCCATCCATGGCGCTTCTCCGTCTCGGATGACATCGTAAGGCCCAAATTAATAATTGACAAAAACTTGCAAAAAAATAAAAGCAATACATTTTTCGAAATGTCCTCTATACTTGTACGTCGAAAGATCCTCTATCCTCCATAAGCCCGACGATTCGGCATCTACATCCCATCCATGGCGCTTCTCCGTCTCGGGTGACATCGTAAGGCCCAGAACGGGCCCAGATCTCGCGATTCGGCGATTGGTCGAACCCCGGTGGAAAATCCTTACTGTTACGTCCAGCGACGTCGGTTTCCTGCGGCTCGGCCGCTCGATCGGCGGGCCCCAGGGGACCGATATCGAGATCGTCGAACTTTGCGGACGTGAATCGCGGGAGGGAGGGGGGCAGGGGCCCGCAAGGGGTCCACGAGGGGGCCCTCTGTCCCCGTGTAGGGGCCCGAGGGGAGAGGGACATTCTTTGGATGCGCGGCGCTGAATTATGGCGCTTAAGGACGCCGGACGGCGCGGCGAGGGGGAGGGTCCGGTAAAAAACGGGGCCCGGAGCAACGAGTGGCGCCCACTCGGCGATCGCGAACCTGTTGCCCGGCGGGAGAGGGCGCGCCCTCTCGCGCGCGAGAGCGCCAAGACGCTCCCGGCCTTCATTCACGGCGCGTCCGTCGGCGCGCGAGGATCTCCCTCCTCCGTCCGTCGTTGTCGCCACGCTTGGTTTTTTTTTTTAAATTCTATCCNACAATTCCACTTAATTTTCCAACGTCTACTTTCTGTTTTAGTAAATCCGCCACATATGGAGGAACCTATACATCAATTTCTTTAAACAATTGCCGACATCACCAGTGTTTAATAACACTGTATAATTTTTCAATTTTTATTTTCCGTTTTAATAAATCCAGCAGACATGGAGGTACCTTTAAATCTATTTTTTTGCATAATTTCCGATCTTACCAGTATTTAATAATTCCACTTAATTTTCCAACGTCTACTTTCTGTTTTAGTAAATCCGCCACATATGGAGGAACCTATACATCAATTTCTTTAAACAATTGCCGACATCACCAGTGTTTAATAACACAGTATAATTTTCCAATTTTTATTTTCCGCTTTAATAAATCCAGCAGATATGAAGGTACCTTTACATCAATTTCTTTGCGTAACTGCCGATATCATCAGTGTTTAATAACACTGTATAATTTTCCAATTTTTATTTTCCGTTTTAATAAATCCAGCAGACATGGAGGTACCTTTAAATCAATTTTTTTTTGCATAATTGCCGATTTTACTAGCGTTTAACAATTCCACTTAATTTTCCAACGTTTACTTTCTGTTCCAGTAAATCCGCCGGATATAAACGTACTGTTGAGACACCTGGTATATACTCGCCCACGCGTGCCTCGCGCCGGTGGAACGTGGCCCACGTGGGCACACGTGGGCACACGTGGGCACACGAGGTGCACCTATGTGTGCCATTGCACGTTCGTTTCTCGAAACCGCGTTGATACGAGACCACGGTTACGGAACGCGTGCGTATTGCGTGTATGATTTGCGCAATCGCAGGGTGCTTCAACCACTCGTTGGGCTCGGAGCTAAGATACTCGAAGGATTTATTAAATCTCGGGAATATTCTTCCAATCGGAATGTGAAAGGTGCGATGCCAAAGGATTGGCCCCATTTCCCCCTATCAAGAGAAAAGCACTGAAGAGAGTGACATACCCGACATTCGAATTTTTTTAAAAACAATTATTAGAAATGTACATTGTAACTGGACATATCCAACCATTGGTCATTTTACGTCGCAATAAATTGCAGTGGAATTACATTGCAATACATACAAATTTTTTAAATAAGAATTAGAATCCAATTTCCAAATTACGTGGATCTTCGAACGCTTTATCAAATGCCTGCACTGATAAACATTCCCTTGTAAATATATATACTCAATAATTGGTTATTTCGATGCAGCAATAAATTGCAGTGAAATTACATTGTAATACATTCAAATTTTTTAAATAAGAATTAGAATCCAATTTCCAAATTATGTAGATTTTCGAACGCTTTATCAAATGCCTGCACTGATAAACATTCCCTTGTAAATTTATATACTCAATAAATGGTTATTTCGATGCAGCAATAAATTGCAGTAAAATTACATTGTAATACATACAAATTTTTTAAATAAGAATTAGAATTCAATTTCCAAATTATGTAGATTTTCGAACGCTTTATCAAATGCCTGCACTGATAAACATTCCCTTGTAAATTTATATACTCAATCATTGGTTATTTCGATGCAGCAACAAATTGCAGTGAAATTACATTGTAATATTGTACTCAGTATTTAAGTTATGTTAAAGAAAATTGTAATCAAATGTTACATTAAATTCAAGTAAAAATGCAACAATACGGTAACTATACAATGTTAGGTGTAATTATACATTTTCTAATTCCTAATCCTTTCATTTACGAAGTATGTAATAATGTATGTAAATTTACATACTTAATCATCAATTATTTTCTTGCCACGATAAATTGCAATAAAATTACATTGTCTCAGTAATATCATTTTCAGCATCTGAGTTGAATTACAGAAAATTACAATGTAATATTAAGTTGAAAATTTAGTGTAACATGGAAATCACAGATGGCGCAGGGGGTCCCTCTGCAGTCAATTAGGGCCTCAAAAACCATGAATCCAGAGGATATCTGGAGTTTTACTTCGATTTTTTTATAATTGTTATACAAAAACGATATATGGATTATGCAATTTAGTACAATACCGAATATAATTCGACACAGCTGTCATTATAAATGCGAACGTCGGCAACGTAAGTATTCAGAGAAATCTTCTTTATCGACGTCGATCAAGTTCCTCGACGTGTTTCACATCACCTTAATTCGACATACGTAAATAACCCGCTACGGAGCATAGTCACTAATATATTCACGAGCGATTACCACATATTTGCCGGGAGTAGAATTAACGTACAAAATGTCCCCATAATTGCCGATCTAATGGCGTAATTATCGGTCTAATGACTCATTACTGTCCGTAGGTGGCGCTTAAATTCTGATGCCGGCGATCGAAAGGAGGCCGTTCCAAGGAAACTCAGTTTTGTTGAAAACATTATTACCAAGTTCCTCCGGGAAGCCGGTTAACCTTAAATAGGAGTAATTAACCCCGAGCGTCGTAATATTCGTCAATTAATCACCATTGCTCCGAGAATTGAAAATTACCGGTTCGTGGTAGGAAAAAAGAGCCGACATAAATTTTCAAAATATTATTACTGGATTTATTTACGAAAAGCGCATACTCCGATTAAATAAAAACTTCATATACCTGCGTATTTCGACTCGCTGATTATGAATGTATGATTTGTATGATAGTAAAAATTGACGCAAATGTCATCTCCAAGGTGGAAATGAATGTTAATAAGTTCTGTATGTCAACATCAATATTATTTCGATTAGCACAGGTTTAAGAGAAAAATGTCTCGGATAAAAGTTGTAGCCCTTGAAAAGACACATCTTTTATGTTCTATACATTTTTTCGTCTAAAACCGTTTCTTTCCGAGAAAAATGAGGTAAATTTCTCGAATGCAAATTGTCTCGAACTAAAAGTGCATGAATTTCATGAATATTATTTAAAGATATTTCATTTAAATATGGGCATTTTTTTTACAGTGTAATTACTTTTTTATAAGTCGGTGAAAGCTGAATATAAACTATCAATTTAACATTTTCGAAAAGTTTAAATTTCTATTGAGGTTATGTAGATTTCTATGATATATGCAATGAAAATATAGGTGCGAAAAAGATTTACATATGTATTCACGGGATATTTTTAATATGCATACCATAGAAAATGTAACTTTTTTATACTTATGTCCTAATATGTACGTCCACTATAAGTATATCATACTTCATACGGTGCCTGGTAATACATCATAATTTACCCAGTGGTAAAACATCATAATATATGGTCCCCAGCCAAAGAGGAAGTCCACACAAAGAAATAGAGGAAATATTAAATGACTCGTTTCCACCGTGCGTTCGTAAACACTCGCTTTATTAATCTGAAATTGCCATTTCAGAGTTACATGCAAAATAAATATCTTCATATATCAGTACATACAGAAACACATAGGAAATATTAAGTGACTCGTTTCCACCGTCGGCGGTTCGCAAACACTCGCTCTTCCCGCCTGCGACAGCTTAGCCTTGGCGCACCTCCTCTGCGCATCCACATACGGGCGCGTCCGCGCTTCCTCCGCGGCAGGAGAATCGCGCCGTGGCCGCAACCTGCGCGCGCGGCGCAGTAAACCTGCAGCGCCGAGGTAAAGCATAAAGTGGCCCCCGAGCCTCGGTAGAAAAACGCCCGGGGCGCGGAAGGCGCGGAAAGCGCGGTGGGGAGGGGCGGGGTCCCCACCGGGGCCCGCCGCGGAGTGGGGGAAGCGGCGCGCGGCGGTGGTGGTAGCCGGCGCGCGGAGTGGGGGTATTGGCGCGCGGAGTGGGGGTATTGGCGCGCGGAGTGGGGGTACCGGCGCGCGGAGTGGGGGTACCGGCGCGCGGAGTGGGGGCACCCATTCATGCTTTGCCTTCTGGCCCAAGACTCCAGTTCACGGCATACCTTCGTGTACTCCGTGGGCGCCATTCTACGCTCGACCCTCACCCACTACTCGGCACGAGTTGCTCGAGTCACGGCAGAGTCATCCGAAGGGAGACATTGGATCACAGCCGGGCAAAGATCATCGTCGACGGAAGTTGGTCGAGTCAGCTGCGGAGTTGGGCATTGTCAGTTGTTGACTCAAGGTTCTACGTCTCGGGGAGTTGAGGAGTGCGACTCGGAGAGGAATAATCGAAGAGTGCGAAGATCTGAAGAGGAAGAATTGAAGAGTACGACCGGAAGAGGGCAACTCGAAGAGGCCAGAGTCCTGGGAACCGCTCAGAAGAGCTCGGGCATCATCAGGATCAGGTCTCGGAGAAGCCGAGGTCCTCGAAGAAGGTGTCAGGAGGAAACAGGTGGACCAGGGCGTGATTTGCGAGCTGCCTTCCTGTTTTATCAAACGACCAGCAGAGGCCCCAACAACTTTTTGAGTCCCCAGTGGGAACTTTTAGCATCCGGAGGAACGCATCGCCGATTAACGCTCGGAGGAAGGATCTGGACCGGCAGCATCCGCTGAAGAGTTCACGAGGGTCCTTTTCCTGGTTCACGGAGAGTGGAAGTCGGGAAGGAACGCTCCTTCCGGCCGAAGATGGACTTCAAGTGAAGCGGGGAAACGACAAGAATCCCTAAACCTGCCCCACTAGACGGAAGTGGCACACCGAGAACTCGGTGGACTCTGATCTCCTAGTCACTCCGTTGGTCCTGGTGTTCTCTCCCTCTCTCTCTGTTGCCTTTCTGCGGATCCGGTGTTATGTGATACATACGAGATATGCGGTGCAAACGCCGTTAGGCACCAACAGCGGACAGAGTCGCCGTCCGTCACCCAGGTGATTGGCTACTCTGGGTTCTCCTCTTTCTCTCTCTTCCTTGTCTTTCCTCTCGCCTTCCGGCACACGTTGGATCACCTCTGTACCCGAGGTTCGACTCCGTATCAACGAATTTCGGTCCAACGTGAACTTCATCTCTGGAATTGGATCAGTGGTCTCATCTGGTGCAACGTTTCGATTTTACTGCTGGACAAATCATCAAAATCTCTGATATCTTGGAGTAGTGCCAGGCAGGGATCATTCGAATAGTCTGATCCGCCTCAGCATCCAGATTTTGCTGCTGGACCAAATCATCAAATCACTGATATCTCGGAGTAGTGCCAGGCAGGGATCTTTCGAATAGTCTGACCCGTCTCAGTATCCAGACTTTGCTGCTGGACCAAATCATCGGAGTAGTGCCAGGCAGGGATCATTCGAATAGTCTGATCCACCTCAGCATCCAGATTTTGCTGCTGGACCAAATCATCAGAGTGGTGCCAGGCAGGGATCATTATAATAGTCTGATCCGTCTCAGCATCCAGATTTTGCTGCTGGACCAAATCATCAAATCTCTGCTATCTCAACGTGGTGCCAGGCAAGGATCATTCTAATAGTCTGACCCGTCTCAGCATCCAAATTTTGCAGCTGGACCAAGTCATCAAACCTCTGCTATCTCGGAGTGGTGCCAGGCAGGGATCATTCGAATAGTTTGATCCACCTCAGCATCCAGATTTTGCTGCTGGACCAAATCATCAAACCTCTGCTATCTCGGAGTGGTGCCAGGCAGGGATCATTCGAATAGTCTGACCCTTCTCAGCATCCAGATTTTGCTGCTGGACCAAATCATCAAATCTCTGATATCTCGGAGTGGTGCCACGCAGGGATCATTCGAATAGTCTGCCCCTTCTCAGCATCCAGATTTTTCTGCTGGACCAGTCTCCCAAAATCTGCGCTATATCCTGATAGTGCCAGACAGGGAATCATCATGACCAGGAAGGATGATTGCGCCGTAAGGCGGTTTTGGAGCACTTTGTACTTCCTTCTTGCGAGCTGTTGCCTCGCTGCAAGGGCTAGTCTTCTCGGCGTGGAGTTGGATGACGCTGGAGAGGAGTTCCTGAACGAGTACCTGTCTCTTGAAGAGAGCAGGTACCTCGCGGAGCTCCAGGAGTTCCAGGACGCCGCCATCGAGATCGACCTCATCGACGGGAAGAAACATCGCAGGCCTCATCAGGAGCCTCGAGTCCTCTACCAGATTGGGGTAAGTCGAGACAATTTTAATAACTCGTAATGTACATTGAGAAAATAATGTCATTAAACCCAAGAAATATTTTCTTAATTCATAGAATAATTACTGGGCTCAAATCAGCTCGTATTAATTGGATGCAATATTTATTAGGAATTATGACGATATGTTTGAATGTTGGGAAGAAATATTTTGATAATTCAAAGAATAATTACTTTACTCAAATAAATTTGTATAAATTGGATGCAACATTTATTTGGAATTATGACGACATGTTTTGTTAATTCGAAGAATAATTACTTGGCTCAAATTAACTCGTATAAATTAGATGCAATATTTTGTTGATTCAAAGAATAATTACTTGGCTCAAATAAACTCGTATTAATTGGCTGCAACATTTTGTTAATTAAAAGAATAATTACTTGGTTCAAATCAACTCGTATTAATTGGCTGCAATATTTATTCGGAATTATGACGATATATTTGAGTATTGAGATGAAATGTTTTGTTAATTCAAAGAATAATTACTTGGCTCAATTCGACTCGTATTAATTGGACGCAACATTTTGTTAATTAAAAGAATAATTTCTTGGCTCAAATAAACTCGTATTAATTGGCTGCAACATTTTGTTAATTAAAAGAATAATTATTTGGTTCAAATCAACTCGTATTAATTGGACGCAACATTTATTCGGAATTAAGACGATGTATTCGAGTGAAATAATTATCCTTAGAATTAATGAAATAGTTCTTTTGGTACTCAAACTCGGATAAACTGGATTTAAAGGAAATGGCTTCTAATCCGCGGAAGATCGTCAAAACGAAGAAATAATTATTCATGTATCGTATCAATCGTATTAATTGGACGAAACATTTATTCGGAATTAAGACGATGTATTCGAGTGAAATAATTATCCTTAAAATTAATGAAATAGTTCTTTTGGTACTCAAACTCGAATAAACTGGATTTAAAGGAAATGGCTTCTAATCCGCGGAAGATCGTCAAAATGGAGAAATAATTATTCATGTACTAAAATCGTTCCGAAACGTTTACTTGGAGTTTCGAAGCGGCATTGTGTTGTCAACAGACACCGTTGATCATAACACCCGGAAAAACTGTAAACAACCTTATCTCGACTGCCATTCCGATCCTCGGATTTCAAAACTTTGTCCGGAAATTTGAGCGTGAATATTTCGATAAGCGAAATTTATTAACCAACGGATTAATATCAGTCCGATCAATTGTTACGTATGACGGAAGCACGATTGCAAAATCAAGGGAAGAAGGTGAAAGAGAAAGTGCTTACGTGTGAAATTGTTTATTTGGATTTAATAAATCCGTGGTGATACCGTTTACACCGCGGAGATTAATTATTATTGTCGTAGCACAGAAAAGTGCGAGATAAACATGTGAAAACACTGAAGAGAATAAAAAGTCAGGTTACATTACTTTGGTTTTTATTATTGATTCTTAGGTTTTAATGACTGAGATATAAAATAAAAATATGCAAAATGTAAATAAGGATAGATTGCAGTAATTCGATGTCTATTATTGGTGCTTAGGTTTTTGTAATCGAAATATGAAATAAAAATATAAAAAGGGAATGGAAAATTAGATCGCATAATTTCGTTCATTATTATTGCTTATGTTTTTGAAATCGAAATATGAAATGAAAGTATGAAAAAATATAGAAAGGGAATGGAAAGTTAGATCGCATTATTTCGGCGTTTATTATTGGTGCTTAGGTTTTTATAATCGGAATATAAAATAAAAATATAAAAAAATATAAAAAGGGAATGAAAGTTTAGATCGCATTATTTCGGTGTTTACGTTTTTATAATCGAAATATAAGATAAAAATTTGAAAAATAAAAAATGAGAATGGAAGGTTACACTGTTATTTCGGTGTTCATTATTGGTGCTTAGGTTCATGTCATCGAAATATAAAATAAAAATTGAAAAAAAAGAAAAATGTAGAATGGAATGAAAGGTTAGATCGTATTGTTTTGGGCTGTTATATCGGTAGGGAAAATTTAGAGACAAATCGTGGTTGATTACAAGTTTGGAGAGCGATTCAGGAAGGAAGGAAATTAGTCCGGGCTGATGTATTTTCTATTGGGGTCTTGCGGGCACCTCGCATAAGCAAAGTACGTAGCGTACGTAGGGACTTATCCGTACGATCGTTGACCCACCAGCCGTGCCATTTCGTTCCGCAAGTGGTCCTCTTATTGCCAATTTCGTTGCGATTATCGCCTTTTACCGACCCAGCCGCTCGTTTGTTTATCGCCGGTGCCCGTTTCTTCC